CTGTGGGAGAAATAAAAAATTGTAGTAAGGAAAGAGATTGGCTGTTTTAGGGTTTTTGTATGTGTGTGAGTGCGGGGAGGTGGAGGGGGGTGTTGGGGTGGAAGATGGGTAGTCTGTTGATCAAATGTGGCTACAAGCATTGGATAATGATTTTTATATGCGTTGTCATATATGACATGAGACTGCACCATTTCATATTTATTACGTCATGACACACAATAATCAAAGCAACACCAGAGCACACCATAAATCTAAATTTACACTAAGCACAAGGAATCCCTTCGTTTAAGGGAAACTGTTGTGAACGTTTCTGGAATCAATGATGAGCTTTCAGCCGTATACTTCATGTTTTTAGATGGCTCTTTAAATTCGGGAATACCCAAGTCTTTGACAGCTGTTGCATTCGGGTACCTTTACTGTCGTAGGTGTAACATTCAGGTACCCTTACTGTCGTAGGTGTAACATTCGGGTACCCTAACTGTCGTAGGTGTAAAATTCGGGTACCCTAACTGTCGTAGGTGTAAAATTCGGGTACCCTTACTGACGTAGGTGTAACATTCGGGTACCCTTACAGTTGTAGGTGTAACATTCGGTTCCCATACTGTATGACATGTAACATTTAAGTACTATTCATATAATATAGTGGATGTAAAATTCGGGTACCTTTACTGTCGTATGTGTAACATTCTGTTCCTATATGCATACTTTGTAACATTTGAGTACCCTTAATATAATATAATGGATGAAAAATTCGGGTACCCATTCTGTAGTGGATGTAACAATCGGATACCCGTTTAAAATTAAATTTGGCAGCCTTCATATTTGGACGATTAACAGCTATTTTAAACATTTTATCACAGTTATGTGTGTAATCTAGAGGAGCTGTATGAAAAAGTTTAAACGAAGAGTTATTGAAGAAAAAAAAAACATACATTTAATTCTTTTTTTTTGTGTTGTATTTAATAGAGTGACATGTTTCGGTCTTTAAACCTTTCTTAGATAGCAACACCCCTCCCCCCCACCCCTCACCCTCTCCCTCCTCCCTCTCCTGGCTGCTTCACTCTCAGAAATTTGTCTGGGCTCTAGTCTGATGTAAGGACGGCGTGTAAGGGCCGGGTGTAAGGGCCGGGTGTAATTAATCACGTCTGGATCGGGAGGACAGGTCCCCCATCACGAGAGGACAGCCCCCCCCCCCACCCCACCCATCTCATCATGACGTCACAGACGACCACTCGGTGCTTGCTACATCCGTCTGATCAGGTCAGCTTGACCTGGGTATAGAGGGAGATGACCTTTCTCTACAGCTGAATACATGACCTATAAGTATTGCTCGGTATATGACCTTTGTGTATTGCCCAGTATATAAACTATAAGTATTGCTCGGTGTTTGACCTTATGTGTAAACCCAGTATACGACCTTTTTGTATAGTATACAGTGGCGTCGCTAGGTCGGGTGTCACCCGGTGCGGCGCTTCGTGGTGTCACCCCCCCCCCCCACAAGAAACAAAGTATATATCTATATAAAATACTAAATTTGTACTTAAAATTATAAATGGGACAGGCAAAAAAAATAATTTTTCTTCTGAAAATTTGGCAATTTGGTGTCACCCGGTGCGACTTGCACCCCCCCCCCCGTCCGGCCCTCGCTACGCCTCTGATAGTATATGACCTCTGTGTATTGCCCAGTATTCGACCTTAGTACATGCCTGAGTACATCAGTGCACGAGAGTTCATGACCTTTAAGTATGTTAGGTTTTATGACCTTTGTGTATAAAACATTTCACGACCTTTATAACTGAGTACATCAGGGCATGGGAGTTCACGACCTTTGTAAATGGGAGTGTGCAGTATAACTGACTTTTCAGTTTATATATATATATATATATATATATATATATATATATATATATATATATATATATATATAAGATTTAAAGAAAGCAATTGTGTTAATGACTTACTTACTAAATATTAATTTTTGACTTAGTTTTATATTTAGGCTAATCGCGTCTGAAAACCGCTTAGTATTCACGTCTACGTTTATTAACTGCGATAATCGCTAAGCCAAAGTATTTTTACAAACAACATAAAAGAGTACGTAGTAGTTCATGCGTATACATTACGTTTATACACATTTATTTTTTTAAATGAAAAAATGTTAGGCCAGAGAGAAAAAAATAGTCACGTGACCGGTCGATAACTGACCATTGAAATTTGAAAGTAAAGTTTGTTGTCGGGGAGTGAGCAGCTACAGACAGTTCAATCGAACTCACGCATGGCTGGTGGCGTTTGGGTAATTCAGTTTGAGCAGTATTTTGTCAACATGTCAACCGTGAAAACGGTACGGGGGCGAGGAGGTGGGAACAGAAGGGGAGGGAGGGGGAGGGTTGGGAGTGATTGCTGGGTAGGGGTGGGGTGGGAGTGATTGCTGGGTAGGGGTGGGGTGGGGGTTAAGTGATGGGGAAGGGGCTAGGAGGGGGCAAAGGGCTGCGTGGGATGTGACGGTTGCTTTGGAGGAGAACGAAGCTTGGGGTTATGAGAAGGGGGGGGGGGTGGAGTGAAGCTAACTTGATGATGTCAGAGAATGAGTTGACAAGAAAAACGTACGACACAGATCAACGTGTTAAACGACTGTTGTATATGTTATCAAAGCAAGAGTTAGAAGGAGGCATGTAGTTATGGCAGGGACTGCCCGGTGTGTAGTGTAGTAGAGAGAGGTTTTTAAGAATTTTAGAGATTTGAAAAGTTATTGTAAGGGACAATATAAAAACACACAACATAGTTGAGGGTTAAGTTATAGTAAACGATTGACCGTCATTAAATAGTAGAAAGTGTTGAATTTACACGACACTAAAGAAGCCGCAAGAACTATTCAAAAATCTGTATACATAACTTATACATGGTTTTTAACAAGTGGTTTTAATTGCGCAAGATGTATGTAATATTACAGTAATTGGAGATTGGGAAATTAAAAAGATAACTCATATCTCTACTATCTTACCTTCTGATTTTAAAAAAGTTTAATTTTACAGAATTATTTTCGTTTTTTATTTTACGATATTTTGTTTAAAATATTTTTTGAAAAATTGTTGTCTTTAATATATTTACTTAATTTACCATGTATTTCGCGCTATTTTGATTTTAAAAATAATGTATTCATTCAATTCTTGCAATAAAACATTTATACAATTTTCTTATTAATCTTCATTTTTAAAAATAATTTTGTATATTAAAAAAAAAAAATTACTCATAAAACAAAATCTACGTCTCAAAAAAAAAAAAAATCTTCATCAGCGAACACCAATTCTTATAACGATTCGCTCATATCTTTTTTTTTTACCTAATGCTGATTATAATTTTATGATTAAGAATTTTTTCCTCTTCCTTCTCCTCTCCATAAACCGCTGACGCCAAGATAATATCGGTGTGGTGGCATAGCGCGCAAAGTTCCCGTTGAGCCAAATTCTTCCCTCCAGCAGTCTGTATGTAACATGAATCGGAAGTGACGTCTGACCGGTATTTGATAACATTAGCTGATAAGCCGAACCTAGGGGGCGCTTCTTTTTTTTTAATACCTCCAGCGTTTAATCAGAATATAAAGACGGACGGGCGGGATCCGGTATGATGGCTCATCAATCCCCACAGCGGGCCGGTGGCTCAGTGTATTTCTTTAAACCTCATTATGGTCGTACGGTGAATAGGCTATAGATCCTTATCTGGCCCGGGGGGAGCGGGGCTTTGAGAATTTATCTGTCAAACTGGGAAAAAATGAGGAGGGGCTGGGAGGGTGGATTGAGTGGGGGTGGTTGTGATATGATGAGTGATTTGTTTGTCTGGGAGGAATGTCTGCGGAGAAATTTGTCTCGCGAGTGATTTGCAAATGATCGCCAGGGGTTTTATTTAGCGAGATGGCTAGTGATTCTTTGCTAGGGCCAATGATATTTTGCGAGTTGGGGAATGATTTTTCGCGAGATGGCGAATTATATTCTACGAGATGGCGAATGATATTTTGCGAGATGGCGAATTATATTCTACGAGATGGCGAATGATATTTTGCGAGATGGCGAATTATATTCTACGAGATGTCGAATGATATTTCGCGAGATGGCGAATTATATTCTACGAGATGTCGAATGATATTTTGCGAGTTGGCGAATGATATTTCGCGAGATGGCGAATTATATTCTACGAGATGTCGAATGATATTTCGCGAGATGGCGAATGATATTTCGCGAAAAGGCGAATAATATCTTACAAGATGGTGGATAATATTTAGCAAGATGACGAATAATGTTTTGTGAGATGACGAATGATAGTTTGCGAGATGGCCAATGATACCGAACGAGATGGCGAATTATATTTTGTGAGATGCTGATTAATATTTTGCGAGTAGGCAATTAATATCTTAAAACAAAATTATAAAAAAAGATAGCCGATGATTCTTTTTTGTGCAACAAGATGCCCAAATTAATGCTAGATGGTGAATAATTTTTTTTCATGAATGCATGTGTATTGTGCGAGATGACGATGTGGTTACAGCAATGAGGGGTTATTTTTGTGAGATGTGACAAAAATATTTTGCTCTGTCCCTAAAGTCGACCATTTTATCGCCTACATTTTAAAAATAAGGATTAATACTAATTCCAATCCATTTTTAAAATGAAACCAATATCTAGACTGTGTGGAATAATTGCGGTATAATTTCCCTTATAAATCTTAATCCATTACGAATGGTCATTTTTTAGTCCAAAAATCATAACTCTTTTTGCTTGTTCATAATCTTGATTAATCCTCATCTTAAGAGGAAAAGAGTTTTATTATTGTTGGTATAAGCTATTTGATTAGGGCTCAAGGACAAATGAAAACATAATCTCTAGCTTTCATTAGTATCCTTTCTAGTAATTTCTGTTAATGGCACCAAGTAATATGGTGAATATTATGGAGGTTTTACTGCTATTAGCGTTATAGTTAGATTAAAAGTTAAAGTATCGTTTTGGCGA